ACGCCCCCATCAATGCAAACTTTAAGCCTTATCAGTGTCCAAATGAATAAGTTAAATACGATTAACATTGTTTACAGTTCATCAAATTTTTAATATTTTTACTTGCGGGTCTGCAAAGGTCTAAGCTCGAGTGGCCATTAGCTTCATTAATGGATGTTTCTGGTTGGTTGGGCTTCGTTTGGCTTCCTGTGTATCCCACTTCACTGCCAGTGGACACCTCGTGTGGAAATGTGGGTTTGACAAAAAGTGCTACGTGTTAAAAACAAGAATTTATTTATTTATCACATATTTTTATTCCCCTTATGTATCCCAGGTTAAATATTTTAAATTTTTAGCACCTAAATTTAAGTTTCATCTGATCTCCAAACACTGCAGATTCATGAATCTGTGTAAATGTAGCAATAAAATGCCAAAGATGTGTTAGAGATGCACATTTAGTCAACAAGAGACACTTATGATTTTTTTTACTATAAAATTCCCAAGACGACCTCGACACGACGCGTTTGAACATAAATGTTACAATCCACTATTTTGTGTTTGTTATTAAAACTCTTAAAATCAGTAGCTGAAAAGACTTTTGTGTGAGGTTTAGAGGGACATAAACAGGAAGCAAAAGATGCCATGCCTTGAGATGTGAGCATGAATATGAACTTGAGTGCAGTGCAACGAAGAGAAATTGTATTTATTGCCTGCAGGTGGCGCCGTGTTGAATGTGCAGCAGTTATGAACTTCCTGGAGGTCGAAGCTTCTCCTCGGTTTACCTGAAAACACTGTAAAATAACTCTGCACTGGACTGTTATCTTATGCTCAACAACTACCTTTCCCATGAGTCTTAGCCACAGGAGCATTTTGGTAGTCGATGTCGGCGAAATCAAAAAGCGTTCAGCTTGTAGAATTTATAGAAAATCCAAAATGAGCTTAATGAGCTGCGAAGGTTTGTGCAGGTTAAAGCGAACGGCTCCTCCTTGTGGAGATACTCTGAAAATACTTTGTGAACAAGTTCATATCTCAAAAGTTAAACATGTGCTCGTCAGCTGATCAGGTTACTTCATAAAAGCCCCAAATATCAAAGTAAAAAGCCTGAAGCTCCATTCAGGTGGGATTCATGTCTCAGTGGTGCTTTGGTGTGGCCTCGGGAGGCTTTCTTCTTCTTCTTCGCTCTGAAGATGAACCTTCTGCTCCTTCCTAACTTTTAAGGTTTGGTTCTCGCTTCATTTTTTCTCTTTTCAAAAGCAGAACACAGCCAAAGAGTTTAAATTCTCGTGATTGATCTAAGTTTTGGTCGGAGGAAGTCCTCGCTGGGCCTCTGTGCTTCTGTCCTATGCAAACATC